CTGTGATCTCCTTCTGGCTTTCCCACCAATATCCTATATGCATTCCTCGTCTCCCCCATTCATGCTACATGACCACCTCATCCTCCTTGACTTGATCATTCTAATTATACTTGGAGAAGAGTACAAGTAATGAAGCTCCTCATTATGCAGTTTTCTCCAACCTCATGTCACTTCATCTCTCTTCGGTCCAAATATTCTCCTCAATGACCTGTTCTCAAACACCCTCAGACTATGTGGCTCCCTTAATGTCAGAGACCAAGTTTCACACCAATACAGAACCACAGGCAAAATTATAGTTTTGTATATTCTAATTCTTCTGTTTCTGGACAACAGATGAGAAGACAAAAGGTTCTGGACTGAATGGTAGCAAGCATTACCCAAGTTCAATCACCTCTTAATTTCCTCCTGAATCAGGTTTTGATCAGTTATTGTTGTTCCCAAATATCTGAACTGTGTAACATTTTCAAAACATCAGGTTCCTATCTTTATGTCATGACTTTGCCCTTCATTTTGGTTACGAGACAGTAACATATACGTGTACTTAGTTTTCTATGCGTTTACTCTAGACCAAGGGTCTCCAAACTACCACCTGCGGGCCACATGCGGCCCGCGATCTGATTTTATCCGGCCCGCGAAAGAATTGTGCAGAAATGCGCCAATTGGACTAATTTTCCAATGAGTACAGGTAAATGTGATTCTGAGCTTATTGACCTGACATATTATACTGCAGTTCGATGGCTTAGCTGTGGAAAGGTTCTTTTGTGCTTCTTTCAGCTCAGGAATGAAATTGATATATTTCTTACTGAGAAAAACCATCAAGAACCACTTTTATCAGATAACAAGTGGCTTTGGAAAAAATTTATTGATTTTGATTCCAGTGCTCAGGAAATTACATTGTTTCAAAATCCGTTTGACTGTGATGCTGCAGATGTCCCAAGTCAAATTCAAATGGAAATTATTGAACTTCAGGAAAATTATCGTATTAAAGACAAATACAAGGAAAGAAATTTGATCAAATTTTATAAATTTCTGAATTCTGAGCAATTTCCAAATTTAAAGAAATTTGCTTGTAAATTTATCTCCATTTTTGGGACGACATATCTGCGTGAACAAACTTTTTCCCAAATGAAGTACATCAAGTCGAAATACAGGGCAAATTTATCTGATGACCATTTAAAGTCGCTACTTGTGATAAGAGTTTCAAAATTTGAACCTCAATTTAGTCAGATTTTAAGAATGCAGAAAGAGTTCCATCATTCACATTAATTGTTTTATTATAATTTGCTATGAAAATATGAGCATTTGCTGCTACTGTCTGTTGTCATTAACATACGATAATTTATTCTCCCGTACTTTGTATTTACGAGTAGTTTATGAAATTCTGTGCTTTCAATAAAACTCATATACCTAGAGTTATTAATTTCTCATTTTATCCGGCCCATTGAAAGTGCTGAATTACCTAATGTGGCCCGCGGTTCGAAAAGTTTGGAGATTCCTGCTCTAAACGAACCTCTTTACTTGTGTCAATTAAAGTCTGTGTGTTTTTCTTTATGGTATCTACATTATCACCCAGTAGATTCACATCATCGGCATAGGCCAGTTGCTGATTTGTCCCGTTTAATTTCAGTCCCACTTGGTTTTCCTGGACCTTCCTAATGGCATATTCTAAAGCAGCAACTTTGCTCTGAATGCCTTGATAAGTGCAAATGAATCACAGACTAAGTTATTTTTACCCTGCAACTTTAAATTCAAATTGTTCATATGGTTCACCAGATCAGCAAAAAATGATAATTTCCAAAGCCACTCGGTATCTGATAGAAGTGGTTGTGAATAATATTAATATTAACATAATATGGAATATAAATATATTTTAAACACAATCTTAATTAATGAATTTGAAATCTATGAAGTATTTTTTTTACCAGTACTCATTGGACTATTAGTTCAATTGGCACATTTTTGCACAATTCTTTCGCGGGCCGGATGTGGCCCACGGGCCATAGTTTGGAGACCCTTGTTCTAAAGCAAAGTTGAACAGGAGTGGTGATAAAGCATCTCCTTGATTTAGACCATTCTGGATGGGAAATTTATCAGACAAATGTTTACCTATACGGACTGTACTGTATGTTTCGTTTAAACACATTTTAATTGACCTATCTAGTTTCATGGGTATTCCAAACTCTATCAGAATATTGTACAATACTTCCCTCCTAACAGAATCATAGGCTTTCTTGAAGTCTATGATGTACTGTCTCACCTTACTCCCATTTTTCCTCCAATACCTGACGAATGCAAAAGATCTGATCTGTAGTTGATCTGTTACGTTGAAAACCACACTGATGATCACCAATAATTTCATCTACATATATGTGGACTTAACCTTGAAAGAAGAATATTGGACAAAATTTTATATGAAGTTGATAGCAGTGATATCCCCCGATAATTACTACAGTCAGTTTTATCACCCTTGTTGTGAACTGGTACAATAATAGACTTTCCACTGATCAGACAATTTTTTCTTATGCCAAATAGAAGTAATCAGATTGTGGATCTTAGAATATAATATTTCGCCTCCTGCTTGAATAAGTTCTGCCAGAATTTGATCACTACCTGGCAATATATACTGTTTCAAATTTGCAATAGCTCTTTCAACCTCAAAAGGGCTAGGATCAGGTATTAACGACTCAGCTGTATAGATTTCTGTCTGCCTAACAGCACTGACCCTATGTACATTCAATAACTGAGAGAAGTAGTTGCTCCACCTATTCAAAATGGTGTTGGAATCTGCAAGCAGATCATCATTCTCATCCTTCACTAAGTTACTTCTAGGTTGGTAACCCCTTTTAGTCATTTATTCCTCTATACATGTCTCTAATGTTCTTGTTCTTACTGTTCATTGCAAGCTCATCAATTTTGTCTTTCAGGTATTCCCTCTTTTTGTTCCTGAAATTCCTGCTGGTTTCACGTCTTATATTGTTCAGATTATCCCCATTTAACTCACTTGGATCCTGCAACCATTGCAATTTGGCCTGCTTTCTTTGATCTAATAATTTTGAGCATCCTTCATCGAACCATGGCTTAGGTGGGTCCCTGTCACCATGGCATGGTGCGTCCTTAGGTTGCGGATGGAGGAGACACCCTCCAGTTTTGGAGGGAAGCTGCGAATATATTGAATAAGCAGTCTCAGACAGCCGACAAGGGGTGGCCCTCCAGCTTGGGGCTAACAACTCCACACCACAAAAATCATTATGTTACGAAAATGAACACAAAGCCTCGGACCCGGACGGATTCCTTGGATAAACGACCTATGCTAATATCTGATCATAGCATGAAAATTTTACACAGGGTTCTGAATTTTCATTTGTATAAAATGGTGGTGGTGCAAGAGTTAGGTGATCATGACATGGCAAACTGTATCACAGTAGTCGAGCATTTAATTGCATTTTGTCCAACGAAGTCATTATCCTTATGATTAGATACAGCACACTTCCACTAATCTGGCTGTGTCAACGAACAGAATTTTCCCTATTTGGCAGCGGAAAATCCACAACAGCTCCATCAATGGCCTATTCACATTGCACACATGACTATTTGGTGTGGAGTGGCAAACTTTGGGGTTGTGGGCCCTATTTCACTGAAAATTATGCAATAAAATGGCATTCAATGGTCATTCATTTTGTAACAATAAATTAAAAATTAATAAGAAATATATACTTTTTATATACTTTTGAAAATTGTCAGGTTCCTCTGCCACACTTTGTATACTAATAGCATCAATTTCACCTTTTAAAACGAGTGTGCACTATAACTGAGCATGCACTAAAGTCAAGCAAATGTGGCATCAACCCTATGTGACCAGTGTGATTCTAACATCATGTATGGATTAACTACCACATACAGAAGTGAGCATATCCTTGAGCACAATTACCATGCTCTTACATGATGTGAGGGGGCATGAGGTAGCGTAGTTGGTTGAGGCACTATGCTACAAGCTGGAAAGTCATAGGTTCAAGTCCAAATGAAGTTGATTTCTTCAGTATACCTAATTCTTCCAGCCACACTATGGCCCTGGGGTTGACTCAGCCTCTAACAGAAATGCATACCAGGAATCTTCCTGGCGGGGTAAAGGGCAACAACTGTGTAAGGCTGACAACCTCACCACCATTACTGAGCTGATTGTCTAGCAAATGTGGGAGCCTCAATGTCTCACAACCCTACTGGCCTTCACGGCATGTTACAGGGATAGCTTTACCTTTTTTACCTTTTTTTTACATGTCATCTACTGCCAAATATTTCACACAATTCACATTTTATTCATGGTTATCAGAACCAATACTCATTACAGTGTAAACCAAAAAAGATTAAACTAAGCTAAACTAAACCAACTCACTCTAATTTATCAGCACATTCACATTTGTTGAAGAAACACAAAACAATGCTTAAAAAAAGTAAAAAATTATAAAAACTACAAGATGAAGAGTAAGAAGACAAATAATGCTCGACACAGAATTCTGAAAGCAGTACATGCCTAACCCATGAAAGTAAGAAGAAAATGAAAAAAGATTTAAAACTTTGTTAGTGTTACTAAATGTGTTCTTTGGTAAATAGTGCAACTAATGTCAAAACTTTTTTATGGATTATTTTATGGCACTGCCAACAGTTGGAGTATAGTGTATCAAATGGTAGAATGACAGATGAAGGATGGATGGCAAAAGATTTGGAAGGAAGTGGTCTTGATCTAATCACATTACCAACCCAGTAGGGAATGAAGGAAACCACAACAGATCTCAGTTAGGATAGCCCATGTCACAGACATAATTCAAAACAAGTACCTCCTGAGAATGGGGCAAAATTATTACCACTCTGCTAGACCATATGGTCAAAACATTATGCAATTAAAAGAGAGATAACTGAATAGTCATCCTCTTATAATAGTAAACCTTAAGCATCATACACATTATCTCATTATTAATATAAGGACTAATAAGTATACTAAATACCTTGTGGGCTGCTGGCTGCAGGGGACTGTGTATCAGATACTGGTACACTTTGTTGGTGTGCATTGCTAGCAGAAGTCTTTGCTAGCTCTCCTGGCTGCTGCTGAGGTTCTGCTTTTTCTCCTGGTAACACTGAGACTAACTGATCCATTGTACCTACACCTATATTTGGTGAGCAACACAATATACATCTTACATATTGACTATAACAAACGAATGTTCGTATATACTTCGTGCTCAAAATTTCCCAAAAGTTTAAAGAAATAACCAGATTACTAATGACGCTGTATTAACTTATGTTTCGATCATTGTTAAATTAGATATACCTTCGTTCCTGAAGTTACACCGTCTGTTGGCCGCCCTTAACCTACACCGAATGTTATATCAACAAATGGAATTCTTAACTGAAACCTGTGAAGATAACTATATTTCGCTGAGCATAATACCTTCACAGAGTCTACTGCCTTACTTCACTTGTGTAAAATAAGGCAATAAACCTAAAACCATTGTGTATAATACTATGAACTTTCATTAGCGTCGATGGACGTCCTTAAAATCACCTCCTCCTATTATTCCATCAACTGCCTCCATCTATTAGAACACTATAACAGAAATCTTTTCACTGATATATATATATATACTCTCTTCTTATTCTTCCTTCACCGACACTATTATCACAGTTCATAATACGGTATTGTCGTGTACTTTGACTGAAAATGGCATATCCAACTTTTTCTGTCAGTGTAAAAACACAGATCACCTTATAGTACCAACATCGGCAGTTTCGTTTCATAAAAATAATTTTCGGGAGTATTTTTATGCACTCATGAAAATAAACGAGAAGTTTTATTTTTTAATCAAACAGATGTGGTTGTGACGTATATGCGATTTAATACGGTGTAGTCCGCTGAAAGTAAACCGACATTTTGGAGAAACATGCCAGGATCGAAGAATTAGCCAAGAATGACATTGGAGTGAAACAGGTAGCATGCAGATTTGCTACCTGCTTCATGTTCCTCCGAAACGTCCGTCCCAGAAGACAGAACTCTTCATAATCACCTTTGTTTGAATCTGAAATCGTACATTATCTCATTTCTTTTCATGAGTGCACATAACTAATCCCTGATTATAGTGTTTTGCTTTCTGCAGCTGAAGACATTTCCTTGTGTAACCACATCCTAGGAACAGCTGAACTATTCCGGGTTTCTGGCGTCGTTTTATAGTATAATAAAGAATCTGAAACATATTAAACATAATGGGGAAACTTGAAGTGGGTACCCCCAAATATATTGCCAACAAAGTAAAGGCGAAAGGCCTCCAGAAACTTCGCTGGTATTGTCAAATATGCCAGAAGCAATGCCGTTACGAGACTGGTTTCATATGCCATATGATGTCAAATCTGATTAGCAGCAACTTCTTCTGTTTGCTGATAATGCAGACAAATACATTAATAATTTCAGCAAAGAATTTGAAAGCGGTTATCTGGAACTACTAAAACGTCAGTTTGGTACAAAACGTGTTCATGCTAATCGTGTGTACCAGGACTATATATCCGAGCGTAATCATTTATTTATGAATTGTACGCAGTGGGAAAAATTGGCAGAGTTTGTTTCCCCTACCAATGTTCATTCCATCAAATTCTCCACAAATAAGAATATCTAACTAATTCTAAATTGTAATCAGCAGTAAAAAATTGTAACTATTGTAATTTTAATCTGCCTATATATCAAATTGTTAATATTCAGAATTAACTTGACTTGTCATATATCATGTAAAATGATCTACAGTGACGAAATAAATCAATGAATCAATCAATGGCTTGGAGGAGAAGGAAAGTACTTGGTGGATGAGACTGAAAAAAGGATGGTATGTACAATATGTAGACCGTGACCCAGAAACCACTGCAATGCAAGAAGCTCTCGTCAGCAAGGAGAAGATGGACAGAGATGATCAAGGAAAGATGATGGCATTTATTGAAAAGCAAATTGAGAAAGGAAAAGAATGTTCCAGGAATGACACTCATGTATTCGCGGAGTTTGTGCGACCAAGTGAGGAGCATAAAGTTGTTGTAAATTTGAAGTTAGAAACAAAAAGGGATGAAGACGTTAAAAATAAAGCGCTGATGGCAAGTAATGCATTGAAGAATGACTACGAGAGAGGAGAGTGTTCTTCAGCAGGAAACGACTCTATCATTGACCGTCACAACAAAACAAATAGAAAAAATCAAGGTTATCGTCCAGCTATAGTTTCGCTGCATGTTTCAATCGCTAACGGCCATCATCAGGCAAACGCATATTAACAAACATATACCATTGAACTGCAGTACATTAGATTGGATACAATGTTATTGATCATTTAAAATACTTTGCGTAAAAATACAATAAGTCAGATTATATAAAAACTGAAAGTTATTGTGTAAGACAAGATAAAACTTAATTGATGTTATACAACATCGAATCAGTCGTTGATATTTCACTTTTCATACGTTTCCATGGACCAATTGGAAGTTCGATATTTCATTTATATAAGAATGTATAGGAGGCCCACGATGTTGCAAATTAATTAATTGTATAGTCGGTGCCCCATCTTACGAAGAATTGTCCGTACTGTATGGAAAGTAAACAACGAACGTTGAAGAGAGAACATATAAACAGAAAGGATTATTGGTTTGTGGAAGGAATTGTTGTGAAAGTGATAGCAAAGTCTCTGGGTGTCAAATACTACAGAAAGAAAGGTGTTGTGACTGGAGTGCCAGATAAGTATGTAGCTACTGTATCCATGTTAGATAGTGGACACAAACTAAAACTAGACCAAGACCATCTTGAAACAGTGATACCAGCAATAGGGCGACCTGTGCGTGTTGTAAACGTCGCATATCTTGGTTGCACTGCCTTACTTAGGGAAGTGGATGAGAAGATATTCTGTGTGACCATTGAAATATCCTCAGGTCCTTTGAAGGGCAGAATAGTTGATAAAGTTGAATATGGAGATATCTGTAAATTACATAATGTAGATGTGTGAATATGACATAATATTAATGTGAGATAATCGCAGGTTTATAGGTTTGATCAAGTAAGAATTAATAAGGACAAAAAATATAAATTTAGCTACAAATACTCTTTGCAGTGAGATATTAATTTTGTAATCCAGTTAGTAAGCCATTATTGTAACATCTCAAGTGAATTATAAAGTGTTACCAATGAGAAGTTTAACTGCTGTTCTTCATTTCATATAATTACAACGAATGATAAAGGAGCTGTGAATGGGAGTCAGAGTTCAAGTCCCAGTAGGGTCAAAAAATTTTCTCTGTATAGACCAGACTGGCTTTGGAGCCTACCCAGCCTTCTAAATCAAGGAATCATTAAATGGTGGTTTCCCTGTATTTATAATTTTGGATCGCATGGCAGTGTGGAATGATGAAGTGTTCTCCAAAACAGTGGCTAACCAGTTCCAGCATAGGATGAAGAAATTATAGCTAGAATGAAGACAGGTTAACAACAGTCATGAAAGCCAGTAGGCATCTTGCCTGAAATATGCTGGAATTAAGAACAGAGAACAAAAATTTCTCTGATTTTTTTTTTTCGCACAATGCAGTGTTGGCAAGTACTAGTTTTGTTATATTCTTGAAATTAATTTATGGAATGCATATTGATGTGAGTTGTGCAAAACAGCAATCTTAAATTCTCATATTGTAAATTTCACATGGTGTATTTTAATAATTATCCGTTCAATGTCATTACACTTGCAAATGATGATAGGAAGTAATACACTTACTGTAGTGTACTGCATAAGCTTAGGCTTGATTTTGTAAGGAAACTAACAGACCATCCAGCCATATTTTTTAATAATAGTATTGTCATGAGCCCTGCACTAACAAATGGAAAATTTCATTTAATACATGTGGTACCATTGAATTAACTCACATAAGACAATAGAAATGAATAGAGTCAAGTGGATAAATTGTAACCAACATATAGCAGCATAAGCTGCAAAAAGCAAATGTAGATTTATATAAGCAGACATATAATTTTAAGAAATTTGCGCCACTAACTTTAAAAAATCCTCATTCCATCAAATTCTCCATAAGCTTCATCACCAGTACAGATACAATAGGACATATGGAAGCCAACGTGCCGAGGAGACCTAATATGGATTCCACCTTACAATATATGAAATCTTTACTATTGTAATCTATTGTAAACAATTTTAAGTAATGTAACTTTATTCTCTTATTGTAATCGGCCAATGTACAGTAATTTACTTGTCCTATATCATGTAACAATGATCTATAGAGACGAAATAAATAAATAAACTTCAAATCATTTTGAGGTTCTTGACAACTTCTACGAGGAGGAAATACAAGAAGCTCTGGTCAGAAAGAGACTCTACTCAGTTTTGTACCAATCATAGTGATCACAGAAATCAATAGTCATATATAGATAATTTAACATATCCAATTCCAGTTATTATTAAGGGGCAAACGCCAGCGGAAAGAAATAAGAAGAATATAATCCACAAATTTAAAGGAAGTGCTCAACAAAATCAACGACGGAAAATTGGCGATCAACGGGGACAGTCATGCCTGAAGCCGTTCAGCCAATATGAAACATAGCCTTAAAGACAGTTAACAAGATTAATGGTTTTATGAAACCAGGAGCATGTATAGATACATTAACCTTTAAGTGCCGAAGTGTCCCGTTTGTGCCAGTCATGAGTAAGGTCGCCGTAGCCCAAGTACCCCGTTTCGGCGAGTCGGGCATTTAAATTCCGCTACTGGAAGCGCATGCACACGCAGCTAGTAGAGGCGCATGCGCAGTCCTAAATACTTATTTTTAAATGTAGTAATTACTAGACCGACTTGAGTAAAACACTAATAGAGGAATTAAAATGATACCTAAGTGAACAACAAAAAGAGTTTACGTATGAATTATGCCTATACTCATTCACGAGGCGGTACTATTATTGCAGATTGTGCAGATTAATATGTTAAAAATATATAGTAAAAATCGATGTACATGCTTTTTTTGTTGTTATCTGCTTGAGGTATATATAGGCTGAAATGTAAATACAGTATTCGATTTCACTAAGAACGCACGGAAAACAGATCCCACTCTGAATCTCAGACACGATGCAGCTGTCTGTTCAGGCCCATAGAAAGGAAAATATGCTT